TATAGCCAATGGGTTTTTTATCAACCTCATAAATTACGTTCATACCCGATTCAAATGAAAACATTATACTGACTAACTGTACTCATTAAAAGAATGACAGTGCGTCAGTTGTTTATTCCTGAAATACTTAGTTTAAACGCCAGATCGCTCATGGAAAAAGGATTACTTTCAATCTTTTCTGTATCTAAATACATGTCACAATTCTGGCATAATTAATCATCTGTCAAGAACGAGTTTACTGTGCAGTAATTCGCTTTGCCCCACTTTATGGGTGTGAAATATGGCCATTAAGAATATACAACTTTAGTGGGTCACTAGTATCCGATCATGGGTGTCTCAAAGCATTGCTCTTGTGTTTTGGGATCACCGAGCGAGCAGTTCAAAGAATAAGTACAGAGTACTACGTAAAGGTGGTGAATCTGTTGATGAGTTAGTGAATCTTCATTCACTGATGTAGTTGGAACATGGGTTACATATGCATATCCCTCCTCCTCTACGCGCGACATTGTCTGGTGTCAATTCTTGTTATTCACCTTACTATTCCTAAAAAACGACTTGGATTGAATGCTGATATATTCCTAAATGAAATAGAAAGTCAATTAAGTTATAATCCAGAGTCCTCAGCTCATTCGCTAGCGCTGATTAATTCATTTTCATTGACAATTAGGATAAGTCACGTGCACATTACGTGGTTGGGGCCCGCGTGATTATCGTCATAAGTGGCTAGAGACTTTGGCTGGCATAGCTGAAAATCGTTCTCAATAGTTCAATTAATATGACGGGTAGTTTGGAATATTTCCCCCTTCATGTATACTACGATAATGAGAATAGTCATTTTATATCAGATCCGGGATTCACGACCCAGAATAGGAAATCAGATTATCACTAGATAGTACTTTATTTGACAGTTACAAATAGTCACACTCAGTGAGTTCGGAGAAGAAATCGATAACAGGGAAGTAATTTTATCTCGCTGTGTTAGTGCGGTTCGGCAACTTGAATGGATGCTCATGTGTTTCACATCCCAATTCAGAAGCCTATCATTCAGTACCGTCTCAATGCTATCTTTTAGTGCAAGACAAAAGTTCACATTCGACTCAGTAGTTTAAGCGCTCAGCTTTCAACTGCTAACTAGCAAGTTTAAGTCCCTCTTCAACAAATGTCTTAATGGATCTCTCTAAAAGTACGTAACCTAGGTATATAATTGGTGGTTACTTTGAGAAACAACAAAATATGTTAATTTCCTGTCACTGTGTTAATCTAAGACATGTGAACTTAGATCGATACATACGCCAGGATCTGCGTTGATAAATGACTGGTTTGGTTCCCTCCTTATTTTAAATTCGGAATCGGAGAGAAACAAATCGTCCTTATCTGATGGTTCTTGGTAGATATCGTACTTGAGGTAATATTTATCACAGTATGAAGTCCACTAAGAAGCAAGCAGTTATTTTATTTCCAGTAGTTAATCCGCATCCACGATGTCTGGCTTACATGTTAGTGTTTCCTGTAGATTTTTTGATTACACACTGTTGATGTTTTTCATAATTGCAACAGCCTTCAGTCAACCTACACTCCATAGTTATGACATATTATACACAGATTAGTCATGCATTTTGTATATCCCTTTATTAGTAAATGTAAAGTAAATTTGCTTTTCGATCAAGAACAAGTGACGAACTGATATTCCGGCTTTTTTTTATCGTTGAAGCGAGTCCTGTTGATCGCTCTCTTAAAACGTATTAGTTACGCCGTTCATTCCACACAATTATACACGAGGTATTTTTGTCACAAACACTAATTATTCATTAGCTAGCATTGTTTGGTTTGCTCGTTACTGACGTTTGTCCTATTACTGTGTATTTTTGTTTATAAACTCTTATAGCAAAAATGTTTTTGTCTATTCGTTTTCAGTCCTCTCAAAAAAAGATATTTTGCATGTTTAGGAAATTGTACACTTTGTCTACGAGAGGTGGGATATGATATTTATTGTATTCGGGTTTTCTTCATATTTAAGGCAAGTTTATTATTAATCAGGATGCTGACCAACTGCGCATTCATGTAGTCCATGTTTTATATCAATTGCAATTCTGACATTTGTTCATAAAGTTGAATTTTCTGCAACATACTCAATGTTCTCAGCTAAGATAGAGATATCAGGCTTTAACAGCCTTAATTCAAATACACAGATACTTAATTAGAATGAATCACCTCTACACAGCTTATGCACGTGCGTTTCCAAAAGCTTTGCTGATCACATCACTAAATCCACGAAAGAAACAATCAAATGACTTGACTAATTCTCAAAATACACGTAACAATACATGGATTACCTTTTTACAACCGATTTGGACTAGTGAGGTGAATATCAATTACATATGCAAACGTGATAAATTTCAGAAAGCATTTGTATTCATACCTAATTAATTCGATTCGCATAAGGTAGATAAGATTCATTCTGTGATCTATCTTCTTAAAATCACAAAATAACGTTTACTTTTTTCAGGTACGATTGTATTTGACAATAGTACATGAGTTGTGTCCAAATGTGACCTCAAATTTACTACTTGTGAATAGATTATATTTTGTAGTATAATATTGGAATCCTCTGAGAGTATTCGGAGCGCAAGGATGTATTACCTTATAATTTATGTTCTCGAAGTATTTTAAGGTTCTCTGAATGCAAGGTTTATGCTGTAACTTTCTCAAAGTGAAAAAGACTCGTTCAAATGAAGAACATTGTATATGCTAATTATATTAGCATATATCTACCTATTCAGTAACTCAGAGTACATATTTAGGCAGCAGAACAAGTTTAATTGTGATACTTTATGAACCTCAATAACAAAGATAACACGAAATTATTATGCAAATTCATCAGAGTCAATTAGTCGTGTTTGCAACAAAATGGTAAAACAATAGCATTAGTTTCTTATATGTTTTACTAAGCAGAAAATCAGATGGAATGCTGAGAACTGACCTACTTAGGCTAATATACTTATTTTTAGAGTCTTTTCCCATTGCAATCAAAAGGAAATTAAGTGCTTGGTTAATTGTTTTAAAGATGTCATTGAGATAGAAGTTAAGACTATATATTTCAAAACAATACATACCTGAAGGAAAAACTAGTATGTGTTGGCAGCGACAAGAAGCTTTTTTTTTAAAGCACAGTGAAATCACGAGGTCTAAGATACGCGCTGAGAAAAGCATTCAATTCTGTAAGGCGGCTCCCTCGTTGTTTAGTTATTCAATTTGAATTAGTAAAATGTAGATATGGATAATATATATTTTACTTATATTTCAAAAAGCAGAAAAGTTGTATCGCTACTCAGTGGAATATAACAAAAATTTATTTATTATTAACTCTCTACCCTATGCTCAATTCATTTGAAACTATCAAGCCCAACCTTGGTAAGGATACCTATAGATAGGGATGTTTTGTCATCTTGATGTGCATATATCAGTCCAACTGTCCTTCTGGATATCTAGTGAGAGCAATCCATCACCCCTCACAGTTGTGTGCATGACAAAGCACAGTAAGATGCACTACAATGCACTCTTAGTCAATACTGTACATCACATTCCGTGTAATATTCGGAGTTTGATGTCAAATCCTAATTAGCTTTCCCTATCTCCAGATGTTGGCTCCTGTACAACGAATTTCATAGGAATGTTTGGATAACGTTTGCACGATTTTTCATCTTTTTTGCTATGTAACGGTGACAGATTGTTAATCCAAAGTTAGACCCACATTTACTGACTTTCGTCTTGATTATTACTACATGATTTTGAGTAGCTACACTGTTCCTCCATCTTTATCAAGCGTAATCATTACCGATTACTAAGTGGTCTCTAAGTACGAACTCCCACCCACTTGCTTTGCACCTTCATTTTCATTGTATCAGTTCCTTCCTAGTTATTATGTTCATCTTTTGATATTGAGTTTATAGTCAAAAGTAAATGTGTATTGGTGTCGGATCATGATGAAGAGCTAAGTAAAAAAAACTCCGAAATCGTAATTTCTATTTCCAAGATTAAAGAAAAATAACCCACAATCCCGTAGTATTTAGTTATAGCATCAAAAGTGTAGCCCATGCTAAGTAGGATCAGTATCAATTCGCCTGACAATGATTACCCAATTTTTTCCGAATAAAAACTTCAATTACTACAAGGCCATATTGCCACCAAAACCAGAAAATGACGATCATGTTGATCGGAAAACTTGACAGAACCTAAATGAGGCACTTCTACAAGTCATAACAGTTCCTTGTCTAGACACCACAAATAAAAGAGTGAGCGTATTTCTCGAGTTCTGAAACGAGCGGTATTTTTTGGCAAGTATCCACTTCCGAAGCATAATAACCCCTGCGTATCAGAAACTTGCCGGTTCATAACCATTAGCACGGTAAGATTATACAACTTTTCGAAAAGCATCGTGATACATTCTTCCCACGCTAAACAGGGATGCGGAATATCTACACGTGTACTTACATTACAAGAGGCGACAATACTAGGTATTTTATATGGACGCGGCCAAATATCTGGTACACTGGACATCTTTTTCGTTGAGTATTTTTTAGGATAGCTTCAAAGGCTAGTCGGTAAGCTTACAACGGTTTGAATGAGACATTATTCACGTGTGATAGGGGAATACTTGTTATTCATCTAATAATAGCCTATAATTAAATATGATCGACCGTAGGTAGGATTATGCTTCAATATAACTGTCTTTTGAAGCAACTATTAAGAGAATTTAAACAGCTTTTAGGCTTATTAAAGTTTCTCTTATTTTTAAAGGCCAATCAGAAGGTCCCTAAGTATCGGTTAGTTTAGGCAGTTTCTTATATTTACTGCCTTTTTAGATTGTCAGGTACCACCAGTCCGTAATCCCAGGGTGAAAAGATAAGAAATTGTTACAATGTTTTATTTAAAATCACTAGGATATCTGTAAGCAAAACATGACTAAAATGATATTTCATTTAGCTTGCGATGTATACTGTCTAGGTCTTTAAAATAACGAACAGTTTTGTGCGGAGTTCCATTGTCGCATCTTCATCAACAACAAATATAGCTTTCTTATGATGCTTAAGAAGTGATTAGTCCATTAAAATAGAAATAGCTTACCTGAAAAGCAGATACTGTCCACATATGATTCACTCCCTCTTCGATTGCTTTCTGCAATGCTAATGCTTTAGAAGTCCCAGTGACTAGAATCATAACCTCATTAGCATCCATTACCGTTCCAACTCCCACTGTCAAGCAACGCTCAGGAACCTGATATTGTAAATAAGAATATCAGTGAGCTTCAATTAATGAAAATTGATGGAAAATTTAGTTTACAGCATAGATACCGGCTTATGACAGTCAGTTATCTACTATGCATGTGAATGTACTTTATTGCATTTACATTTTATTTTGCATTAATTTGGATAATTACTATCCTAATACACATTACTCTTATACGAGATAATTCACTGTAAATAAATACGCAGCCACAAACTGGTGTTGTCTGACGTCCTCTACGGACTTAAGGAATCATAAAAAGCCACTAACATTTATGTGTACAGATACTTCAGCGACCAAGGTAATGAAGTAGTATATCTGAAGTTCAATGTTAGCTGATGTTTACTGTAGGCAATTATGTGAGACTTGTGGCAGGTTCTTTGTAAAGTAACTTTTCGTCTTGTACTTTATCGTCCTGTGCTGTGGATCATTTCACTTTTTCGGTCCGTAAAATGGAATAGAAGACTTACGTCGGCGAGTGCAGTCGTCAGTAACTGTTGACTACTCCGCAGGCATCTTGATTAGTTTTTAGTTCATACGGTTATAAGTAATCGTTGGCTGAATTACAGAAATTCTATGATACCAACATATGGATGAGTGGGAATTGTAACTAGTACGGCGATGTTTGTTTCTAGACCTGCTTCGAGAAGCCTATCGCAGAAGTTGACTTAAGAGGAAACCGATTTGGAAAACAGAAATAAAGGTGTCTTGTGACATGGTAAGGATAATAAATATAGTGTTTATGATACTCGGAATCTGATAGGTATATACAAAACCGGGGGAAGACAAAAAATGGATACACCTGCACCATTGAAAACAATTTTCAGCCATGTCATCCAAAGTCTGTTACCATCCGTTACGATAATCACGCGGACCTCCAACAGGTGGTCTACAACTATTAAAATGGCTAAATCCAATTGTTTGTGACTTCATAGACTGATGGAATGCTTTAGTTTGGCCACCACTAGCTTGCTTTCAGCCTACTCTTACACCAGAAAACCACCTATCGAGGTAGGCAGACGTCAAGCATACATAACACCTGTCTCAACCACCTCAGTTAGTGAAGATTAACTACCTTACCAATCGATTTCCCATTTCTACCTAGTACTCTACTCCTAACCCAGGTATTGCTTACTCCGTGGTCCCAAAATACACCAGAAGTACTTTGTAAACACCTATGATCGAATATAAGTAACCTACGAATATCCCCAACACTTAATAGCCATGTTTCACGTCCATTAAGCAGAATGAAGCGAATTGCTGCGTAGCAAACGGACAAACATCTCGCCTACATAACAGGTTGATAAAAGTCAATCGAGTCCTCTGAATGCTTGCTGAGATTTCGTCAGACATCGGCATTGATGAGATTCCCAAGATAATTGAAGTGGTCGATATGCCCAACTACTTTATTCCCTATCACTAACTCAGGGGGCGACATAAGCCAATCCTGAAGTAACATTTTACATCTGGAGGGAGAGAACCGCACCCCAAAAATGCTTGCATTGTCGCTCAAGGTGGTCACAAGACTGCATTTTGTCAACATGTTCACAAAACAGAACTATATCATCAGAATATTCCAAGTCAACAAGACAATCTCATTGTACAAGATCAATCCCTGAAAAGTTAGACGATGAAAGTGTTATGTCAAGAAGCATGCTTATGACAAAGTTGAATGATGTTCATGAGAAAATGAGAAATCAGTGGGTGGTGAAATTTGTGGATCATTTGACAGTTAGCATGCATTATTTTGCTGAGGGTTGAGTGGAAAACCTTTATCCTCGTGATAAATACATTATTAATGGATAAAATCAAAGTGATTGTTAGATATATTTTGTTGGTGATTTATGAATTTATAACATTAAGGCCTTATTATCAGACTTATAACTTATTATCTATTATATCGGTCCCTGAAACAGGTATTAGGCACTTTTATATTTCATTTTAACGTAGTTCAATAGAACCTGGTAAAGCTACAGTTACAAAATATTCTCGAAGCAACCTCAAAAAGACCAGTGGAAAGTAAAAGTTTTGTACAACTTTCCGTAGCTTATACTCGGATGTCAAAAAACATTTAGGTGTTTAACTAGGCGATTCAACAATCTAATAGTGTCTTGGAAACAAACAAGATATCTTTCCACTTTAAAAGCCGTAACATCACCGTTTGTCCGTGTGTTTTAAATAGGAGAGAGACTAACGTGGGAATCTCGTCACTCTTACCATTTCCTTTTTGTTTCCCATTTACCTTTTCTCATTTCAAATGTTTTTTTATTCCTGTGACAACAGACCGCAACGAGGGACATGAGAGAACCCAGGGTGCAGTGTGTATGCAAGAACTAACAATCATTCATGATCTAAAATAATAGTCAAATAAGGTAAGGAAATTTCACTGTCACTGAAGTTACCTCGGCCTTAACTACGCAGTCTATAGCTTATAAAACTCATCTCTGAGATCTGGAAATTTGGCACACCGGCCATGTTGGCGCAAAACAATGAAGATAAAATCCAATGGAAATGAAGAAGGGGCGCTTCTCCACTGAATCCACAGAAGAAATCACCTTGACGCAACTAAATTTTCAGGGGTCAAAAAGTACCTTTGTTGTTCCTTTACGTACGTCAACTACGGCTCCAATGGTACATACAGTTCTGCTTTGGATTCCATATTCAGGAAAGCAGATTACTGATTATTTGCCACAGCTGTTTACTGAAAAGTTATATTTTGGTCAAGACAAATTTAATTCGTGATCTGCTCCGTTTGCTTATTTATTTATTCGAACATATAAATATTGGTACAAATCGGCACCGAATACATATGAGCCACGCAAGTCACTTGATTTGTGTGTGGACTGTGATACTGACTGGGTGCTCAGACCGAAGAAGGTGGTTTTTTAAGGGGTGGGCACACCCGGAGCCTTCGACCCAATGGTCTGATCCATAAGGCAGTGGAGCAACATCAGGAAACGTAGTCCCATGGTAGCCGGTAACCAATAATTGGTTCATACGTCATTTGTTCCCTCAAGATCCTGGAGTTCATGTGCACCATTGGTTTGGAATCAGGGATTTCCAAGTCCCCTAGGTGGAACCTCCGTTTCCACCAACCCGGTTAAAGCGCCGGGCATCCGCTTTTCGTCCTCTTAATTTCGTAAAGAACACCCCCGCTGTGAGAAGGCAATGAGTGGGACTTCCCTAGCAGTGGTTTTATACGCACGGCCATGTGAGAGCATTTCGAGAGGGAGAGCTGACTCTCCCCGCCCTCGACCGTACCAGGGCATTCAGGGCCATGTAATGTGATGGAAACTTTGTTCGGTTATATAGAATAGAATCCAAACCATTACAAATTATATTTTTTCGGTTAGAATTGTCAAGCCACTAACTGTCTTGGTTTAACAAAATATTTATAAGAACTAATTTCATAGAGTGATAAAGATCACTTAAAGACAAACTGATAGTAACTCACGCCATTCAAGTGACTCCTACTTGATAACACAACCCAAAATGAAGTGAAGGGACGTCATAAATGTTTTTTTTTAAACCGGTAGTTCGAACAGACCTAGTTACTTATATAGAGACAGTGACTTACCGACAGTTTTTTTATCGGGGGGTACAAGTGACTGGTAATAACTGCTGTCTTCCTTATCATTATATATACTTAAAGTTATCGGTAATCAACACGGCTATAATTGAAATGAACAGTATAGATATGTACAACAGGCGAGAAGACCATTTATTACATGCAAAATAAGTGCTGAATGGCAAAATCAGAATGAGTCATGTTAATGGAATTACGATCACTAATTACACTTCATTTTAGTTTCCGTTTGTTCGATACTTAATATCGGTCAGAAACAGAGGTCACCCTATAAGCGATCCAAGCAAGAGCACGTGATAACTAAATTTAAGGGCTATTGAATGTTTCACTGAATAACAATGTATCTCCAAGGGATAGTAGAATTATGCCAAGGAGAGCCTTTACAACTATACTTGGAAAAATCATACTGAAATAAGTCCTTAGTTCTCGGAAGTGAAATTGTGACCAAGGAACACATGACGTCGAGAATCGGAATCAAACATCAAAAAATGAATAGCAACTGGAAGAGGTTGCCCAGGACGGAAAATTCTGGTGGGCTGCCTATACTTCACAAGAGGTATCAAGAGCAAGTAAAATGACCTATGAAGAACTTAAGTGAAAATATTGTTGCTTGGTATAATTCTATATATTAGTAGTACGATCGTGCGTTTTCTGTACTGTCTTTTGGTCAGATGTATAGTTTATTTTTGGTAGCTGTTTTTGTTTACTACTCTCAAATGTTAACATAAAATAAAAAGATGTTCATTGAATTTTTGAATTTTACTACCTGAGACATGTTATCTCCAAAAAATCTAGCATTAGCTACAATAGTCTCCTTTGCCAGTGTTTTGACACGTGTGCGAGATACTAGGCTAGAACCTGGCTCGTTAAAGGCGATATGACCATCCGGGCCTATTCCACCAACAAACAAGTGAATACCTCCAGCTTTCTTTATCTCCATTTCAAACATTTCGCATTCGGCCTCTGGATCATTAGTTGTTCCATTGAGTATATGCACATTTTTTGGATCTATATCTATATGCTGATAAAATTTAAACATCGTTACTGATAAATATTAAAAAAAGCCACATATACATATTCAGAAAAGCGTAAAGCCACAAAAGTGAGGCACCGAAAGAAGTGACCGGTGGAGCAATATTTATACTAAACATATTTCTCTGATAAGATGAAGGTAAATTAAACGCCATTAGGTGAAAAATTCTATTCGTCGAAACTCTTTTAGTCTGTTCTATTTTACAGCAAATTTGAAATTATTGCTTGAAACATTAAATTGGTTACACTCAACAGACCAATGCACTTAATATGCTATAAAACCACAGACCATTTTGAAACTTCTGATTAATCAGTAGGATAACTTTGACATTGTCTGAAAATAAAAGATTGGATTATGGGATCTCCGAAGTCTAGGCGAACTTTAAAGCTGCATAAGAGTAGTAACAATTCAACTCGAGCATTTTATTAGAAAGGGGTTTGAGAGGATTGTAGTAATTTAATAGTTAAATCCATGAGTCAATTAAAGCTAGACCAATAAAGAAAACCTGGAAGCGAGACCGAAGGTCTTGGGTTCGAATCCGCGAGCGGGATCGTGGATGAGCACTGCTGAGGAGTTCAATACCAGGACGAAACGACCGTCCAGTGCTTCCAGCTTTTCCATGGTGGTTTAGCTTTAATTGACTTATGAATTCAACTATTAAATTTCGAGCATTTTAACCCTTCAAAAACAATATGTACTGCGTTTGTTTGTATTTGTAGTCACTGCTAGAATAACAGTAGATGTTTAAAGAACTATAATAATAAACACTTGTAAACTGAACTTAAGGGTTCAGCTACTTAACTGTTGCGTACTCTTTACTGGAAACTAAGTATGAGGTTTGATACCAGAAAAGGTCAACAACGTGAATTACTAAATATTTTACAAACTGACACAAATGATTACTCATCGTTCCAATGGCTATAACTAGAGTTAGATGGTGGATTCACATAGGTCCAACTTCTCCTAACATACAGAGCTGTTCGGTAAGAAAAATAGCAATGCCAGTTACAACGAGCAGGGTACGAAGACTGTATGTGGTCCATTCAACGGATTAAAAACACTTTAATTGACGTATGTTTTCTGACCATGAATTTTTAATTGTAAGTGAGATCCATATACTATTCATTTACTAGGGATGATATGAGTGAGGAGTGTCCATAGATAACGAATTAACAGATAACTACTTTCATCTGCAGAAGCTTGTCATTGGCCCAACAACGCTAACTTCAGCATTTACTAACGGACAGGTATAATGATTAACAAATCACAGTAATGTACACATCTTCTATTACTTACTCACTAAAAACAATACATCTTGTTACCGAACTGATTTGCGACATTTTTTTAAATTACTTAATATCCTTTATTTTACTGTTGATTCTTTGACTGGTTTCTTGACAGAAATAATATCTTAATTCATAATAATTAGTATTGTTAATTTTAACCCCATATTCTGCACAAATTTGTGGTTACTGTTCACCACATCACGTAGATAAATTGATTTCGAAGCCCGATTGCAGGTATACAACTGACAAATAATACAGGAAACTTTTCTACTATGTTTTTTGCACTAACGCCTTGACTAGATTTTTGAAGAGAACATATTTTTACAAAGAACGATATTCAACCAGAATTTCAAGTATCTACATACTTGAAGATATATTTCCAAAAGGTTCCTTAAAGCACTATGAGAAGTTTTGATAGGTTCGGACCATACTCAGTGATACATTCAGCCAAAGCTTATGCTCACTTTTCACAAGGAGACTTTGCTGTCTCACAAAAAGTATCAGTGAAAACTAGTTTCTATTTTAAATGAGCTGCATTCAAATAGTAGATAGTTTAATCAAAGCATCACAAACGTACTGATAATTAGTACACACTATTGAGAAAAAATATTATTAAAGAGGTTGAACAAGATTTAATTTCGCATACCAATGGAGAGTGAACAAAAATCCGGCGGATCCTGAATTCATTTTAGCTTAGTTAGGTCTAAACATTTCAGTGACTACACATATTTTTGGGAAAAAAACTAGGAAAGGTATATTTATTATTCTTGGAAACATATTAAACTGATGTAGCTTTAGTATAACTACTGTTGTATAACACTTATAGGAAAGCTATAATCTTCAGAATAGATATTCAAGTGAAATATTTTGTATAGTTTTCGGAGTCATTTTCAGTTTCCTTGAATAAAAGTACACGTATGAAAGGATAAATACATTAACAATCCAACGCTAATACTTATCTTACTTTGAAAAAATTATGATACATGTAGTAATGGTAAGATTGTGGATGATCGTGAGACAATCCCAAATACTCGTCCATATTGAAGGTTTTCACATACCGAAAACTAAGTTTGCCATCATGGTGAAATTCAATTAACCGCTTGTACATACCCAAAGGAGTTGAACCGGTTGGAAGACCAAGAACAAAGTATTTCGATTCAGATGGCCTGAAGTCAGTTATCTTTTTCATTACGTATTTAGCAGCCCATACTGCAACTTCTTCAGGATCTTCAAGAATCAGTAGACGCATAATAACTATTTAGCCTATGTACAACGTACATAAAAATCGAAAAACACATGCTCAAACGTAGAAAAGGTATTAACACGTTATATACTCTTTTTACCAACGATCATTCCAAGAAAATGTGAAACATTGATATTCTACTGTGCAGTGTGAACAACTAGATAATATTTTGCAAAAAAGCTGATAGCACCAATTTCCGATTTACGGACTGACGCTGGGACAAAATGCCAACCAAGAGTTTCAAAGATCAATACAGTTGTATATACAAGCCCATATTTTTATAATGAATTAATTGGTGTTATTAATAGGAAAGTCACATGAACTTCTAATGCCCAATTGAATGCGATAACGTGTCGACACAACTAACTAAAGCACAGTTGCGGTTCTACTCCACTTGCAAAGGTAATTTCTTTTCTTTTCTATTCTAACCGGATTCCACAGTGTATGTACGGAGGGTAAGTAAGTCTTTTCTGTCGACTGTAGAGACACAAATCACATGCTGATAGCTGGTCTAAACTGGATGGAACACCAAGGAATCGGCACCAACACGGCGACAAAAACTATAGTTAACTTGAGATGTTTCTCTGACATATTTCACATATATACTGAAGACAAGAGATATGAAGAAAAACCCATGAGTGATATCAATACTACTCACATTGTTGTACACAATTAGGCACCCGGAATATATCTTTAAAATGCAGGTGTACCTGACAATGAGGTTATATATATATATATATATATATATATATATATATATATATATATATATATATATATATATATATATATATATATATAGACATATATATATATATATATACTGCCCGTCCCAAGCCGGGGTAACCAAAGAGGTTAGGGCATTGTGCCAGTAACCCATCCTGTAGAAAACAACCTTAATAAGAATCGCTAACCGGAACATACAATTTAAGCCGTTTAAACTCGGTTCTTCGAGTTGAAGGATGTTCATTCGGAAGAATTATGACGCCTCATAGTGAAAACCGAGATTCTCCTGAAGTCATGAGGTCGATCTCCCTTCACACAACCAGAGCAACAACTAGTGTGAGTACATGGAATGTCCGGACAATGTGAGAGAACGGAGGACCAATCTAATAGCTGCGAAAATGAGGAGATACAACTTGGCAGTTCTCAGAATCAGTGAAAACCATTGGACCGGAGCTGGACAGATAAGATTAGATTCGGTTAAGATGCTGCTGTATTTGGGACACGAGGACAGAAATGCCCCACACACTCAGGGAGTTGCTCTGATACTGTCCAAATGAAGACACTTATAGGATGGGAATCTCATGAACCCAGAATCATCAAAACATCCTTCTAAACAAAAAAGTAAGGGATCGCAGTGAGTGTTACCCAATGTTATGCATTCACCAATAACAGCAATGACGATGACAAACATCAGTTTTACGACAGTCTACAATCGATCATAGCGAAACAATCAGGAAAGAAGCTGATCATACTGATGATGGACATAAACGCCAAAGTCGTAATGGACAACACCGGGTATTAATATATCATGGGACGACATGGGCCGACTGGGAGAAACGAACGAGAATAGCGAGAGATTTACAAATTTATGTGCATTCAACAAAATGGTTATAGGCGGCACAACATTTTCACACAAACGCATACACAGAACTACGTGGGTATCACCGGATCACACTACAGAGAATCAGATCAATCATATTTGCGTCAGTAGAGAATTCAATAGGTCAACGGGAGTCGTGAGAACCAGAAGAGGAGTTGATATGGCTTAGGGTCAACACCAGGTGATTGCCAAGATGGTACTGAAGCTAAAGAAACACGGGACAGCTGCGAAAAAATACATTACAAAGGCTCAATACAGCCTTCCTTCTACATGCTGAAAGACTCAACGATTTCAAGACAACTCTCAATAAAGGTTTTAATTCCTACAAGATCTACTCAAATAAGAACAAACTACTACGAAGAACAACTGCGAAAGGATAAAAAATCACTAAACCAAAGTATCAGCAGGTTCTGGGTCGCAACAAGCGTCTTCACAAGGAATGAATAATTGGACAAATTTCAAGAGAGGAAGAACAAGAAGACAGTAACCAACGACAACTGAAAATGAACAGAGAAAATCAAGACACAAGCTGAATACACAAAAGCAAACAAGCACGTGAAGAAAAGCATTGGAGCCAACAAGCAGAAATACATGGAAAGACGGAGGAACAGATGGGTGGTACACTTCGAGCAACTCTTAGACAGACCAGCTCCATTGAACCCACCAGACATCGAAGCAGCGCACACAGACGTTCCTATAACTGTCACTTACAACGATCGAGAAAATCAGGATGGCCATCAGACAAATCAATAGTGCGAAAGCTGCAGCACCTGGCAGTATTCCAACTGAAGCACCCAAGTCAGACACGGAAGTAACTGCAAACATGCTCCATATCCTACTTAGGAAGATTTGGGAGGAAGAACAAGTGCCGACACTGGTAATCTGAACAAGTATGAGAACTACAGAGGCATCACATTACTGTCAGTACAAGGAAAGGTTTTCAACATAGTGTTGTGGAACCGTATGAAAGACTCAGTAAACGCCCAACTTCGAGATCAACCACCTGGATTCCGTAAGGATCGGTCGTGCACAGACCAAATCGCGACACTACGGGTCATCGTTGAGTAATCAGTTGAATGGGACACATCATTATGCATCAACATCAGTGACTTTGAGAAAGCATTTGACAGTGTGGATAGGAGAACCTTATGAAACCTTCTTCGACACTATGGTGTACCTGAGGTCGTCAACATCATACGGAATTCGTACGAAGGACTACACTGCAAAGTCGTGCATGGTGGACAGCTGACAGACACATTCCAAGTGAAGATCAGTGTCAGGCAAGGTTGCTCACTCTCTCCCTTTCTCTTTCTTCTGGTGGTTGACTGGATTATGGAGACCCCAACAACTGATAGAAAACACGGACAGCTCAGAGCCAATTAGACGACTTGCACTTCGCAGATGACCTAGCTCTTCTACCCCACACAAACCAACAAATGCAGATAAGGATAACCAGAGTGGCAGAAGTCTCTGGATCAGTAGAGCTCAACGTACACAATGGAAAATCAAGATCCTTAAATACAACACGGAGAACACCAACCCAATCACATTTGAAGGAGAAGCTCTGCGAGAGGTGGAGACTTTCACACTTCTGGACAGCATCATCGATGAACAAGAAGGATCTGATGCAGACGTGAAGATGAGGATTGGCAAAGCAAGGGCAGCATTCCTACAGTCGAGGATCACCTGGAATTAATAACAACCGTCACCCGAGACCGAAGTCATAGTTGTCAATACAAACGTCAAGAAATTTCTATTGTGCAGAGCTGAGACTTAGAGAACTACTACAATCAATGTGAAAAGTGTACAAGTTTTTATAAACAGCTATCTACGCAAGATATTCGGCGTCCATTGACCATCAGCAAGAACCTACTGTGGCAGGGAACAAACCAGTTCCGACTGAAGAGGAAAGTAGGAAAAGTCACTGAAAGTGGATGGAACACACATTAAAGAAATCATCAAACTGCATTGCGAGGCAAGCACTAACTTGGAATTTCGAGGGGAAAAGAAAAAGAGGAAGACCAAGGTACACATTACGTTGAGAATCGGAAGCAAACATCAAAAGAATGAATAGCAACTGGAAAGTATTGCTCAGGACGGAGTACGATGGAGAATACTGGTGGGCGGCCTACACTTCACAAGGGGTAACAGGAGTAACTAGCGAATTTCACTGCAAGAATCTCGGTTGATAGCTGTACTTAAGCTGTCATAATAAAATGTAGAATGTCATATTAAGTCCTATCGTGTTATTATGGTAAGTCAAAGGGATAAGATGACAATAGTAACTAGTGTCGATGTACAAGTGATCAGGCTTTGATTGAGGTTCGAATCTTGGGTTGTTCTTAGTTGTATTTGTGGAGAGTTGTCAAGTCATATTGCATAACGAGATGGACACTAAATATGAACCCACCGTTTGGTAAACTGAAGTCACTAAGCCAACAAATATTACCATTCCACCTTAGAACGTAGTAGCAGAATATTAATGACATGCCACTTCACTGAGCAGCAGTTGGATTGAACATAACACTTAGAATTGGAGTTAAACAGCTCATTTTATTGCCATAATCTCCTGCCATTAACTAAATAAGACAAGAGTGTCAGTGACGAGAAAAGTATTATTTTTCAAACTAGAATGAATACTCCAATGAGTGCAACAAAATCAGAGCAAAACCAATCAGTAAATGTCAACCAGCCACTTAATCAAATGCAACAAAATATCGGCGATATATAACTATCGGTTAAAGTACCCATAACATATAATCTCATCGCTCGGATTGTTGAGATGAAAACAGCAACAAAAGTATCAGTGGTAATGATAAGAAGCAGGCATAGAAAATATGATTCAGGGAGAAAGAGTACAGCCGCCCAATAGAAGGCACAAAAAAATTTCAGTGAAACTATGATTTATGGACGAACCAATCAGATTTTGGTGCGAAACCTGTCTAATAAGGAAACTGGGCCTAGTGGAGTGTCTCAGCATAGTTTTGAGGACAATATCTTCTCTTCTGTTCACAAATAACCCTCCTATAATAATCGGTCTTGTTGTATGCTGACGATGTCAAGATATGGAGAGTGATGAAAGGTAAAGCTGATGGTTAAGTTACAAAATGACCTGAAGAAATTATCTGGATGGTCTCGAAATTGGCAGTTGCCGATAACTGCTCCCAAGTGCATTGCGATGTCAGTTGGTCACAAAGGTACAGACACAGTGAATAATATTGAGCTGTCTGTCGTCCAGACACACAATGACTTAGGAGGCATCGTCATCCGAAGAATCAAAAGCCACTGCACACCGCCGTGCGACGGCCGCTAAAGGTTTCAGAACCCGATGGTCAATACGTAGAGCCCATAGCTATGTCGATGTTAATATTTTTTGACTTTGTATACAGTAATTGTCCATCACAAACTCAAGTACTGCATACAAGCAGCTAGTCAGAGAATTTAAGAGAACACTCTACAAAAGTTCTCAAATCCAGAACAAATTACTCGTCAGTTGAACCTCAAATTTTTCACCGAATCATCAATGAATGGAACTACCCCTACAAGTGATTAAAGCTACATTTGTTGACGCTTTCAAGATGAAGTTGGACCAACTGGGAGACCACTATTGTCAGGGCACTTAGCTTCCTAACCTCTTCCAAACTGAGTTATGCTTGTGCAAACGGACTTTAAAATAATGAGTTGGGGTCACATTCTTGTCTTCAGGATATAAATGGTGACAGTGATCACCACCCTCCCGAAAAGCAAACTCACCGATACAATCGAGTGAAGGAAGACAATGCCAATTATTCACACATACTTCACCCCAGGTAAATTTATACTTTAGGGTTTAAATACTGAGGCTGACAATCTGGATTTTTGGCGTTTCAATGACTATATGTTGTTGTGTGGTAGTATTTTGTGTGTACATACCAAAGATTTAACTCGTAGATGTGTGCGTTTCATGGTCGGCATAACCATCATAGATTTATTTCAACGTAGCAATTGTTGGACATGGAGATACATTATGGAAGTGATTCTCTGTGCAATGAATACCACGTCCAGTTCCATCAAGAGTGAATTTCGGCTAAGAAAGCTCACTAATAACTTCCACTTAGTGTGTGCAATAA